CGCGTGGGGCCAGCAGCTCCCTTCTTGCCCGAACCTCTTCCTGGGCCAACTCGACCCCCCCCCAGGGTCAAGCATGCCAGGCCTATTTCCTACTGTGGTTTTGTGGAAGTGGCTATACTTGGCTGCTGCTGGCTCACATCCGTCATTCTCGCTGCTCTTGAGGCTGAGACTCTGAGGTCCAAAGCCAGGCTTGGCAGAAAAGTCTGTGAGACCCTCATCTGCAATCAACCAGCAAAACACCAGAAATGTGCATGCATTTTAAGTGGCAGAAAGCCAGCCTTGGGGGAGGGGCAGGCGGGAGGTCTCGCCCTGGCATTGTTGCATGTGTGCACACGCATGTGAGTGCACACACACAGCCTGAGCTGTGGTTCCCAGGAAGACCTCAGCTGCGTACTGGCACCAATGGCCCTGCACCAACACTGCCCTCTCCCACCCACAGGCAGGGCAGGCTTGGGTACAGGAAGGTAGCACCCAATAAACGTGCTCCCAAAGATGGAGGTCTGCTCAGGTTGTTGCATCCCAGAGCCTGACACTGGTCCATCCAGCCTGCAAAGGGACAGAGACCTGGACTAGTACAGCGAGGCACACAGTACCGGGATGGCATGTGTGCAGCGCGCCGGGGCCTCGTGAAAGCCTCAGGCCTCGCTGGGCCAGGCTGGATTGAGCCGGGCAGGCTGGGTCATTCCAGTAGGCCACATTTGCATTTGGGGGAGCCTCTCGCACCCCAGGAGGGGCAGAAATCTGAGTCACCAGAGGGTCCCCAAGGCCCACCTCAGCCTCACAGCCACTGTACCCAGAAGCCTGTGGGGTGGAGGGAGCTGGGGCTGAGTCCGCTCTGCACCGGGAGGCTCACCCACCAGGTGGCAGGAGGTAGCCGCACCTGGACTGGGGCGGGGCTGCGGGATTCTGGAGACTTCCTGGAGAGAGGTGGGGTGGGTGGGGGAGGAAGGCCTGGAGAGGGTGGGGCTGGGCCCTGACTGCAGAAGGGGTGGGGGGTAAGAAGCAGGGTGACCAGCTGGACCGCCTCCTCTTCAGCCAGTGGCTCAGGCTGGGGTTTCTCCCCAGCTCAGCGGCAGTGGGGCCCAGGGCCTTGATGGGAAGGCACAGAGGGGGGG